CGGTGGGGAGAAGAAGGAGCGGAGCCTGGGCAGACATACTGTTTAAGGAGCTTGCTGACTGATCGCAGAGGGGGTGTGGGGCCAGGGCCTAGGGCCCCAGGCTCCAGAGGGGGGCCAGCAGCAGGGTGCAGGCCAGACTCCCGGGGCTGAGCGCGGGGGCTGCGTCCACGTTGCACAGATCAGCGTTACAGCAGGACACGGGCCGGGTCACGCCGATGCCGTCCACGTCCGAGGGCTGGCACTTGCTGGCACAGGACTTGGTCACCGTGGAATGGCCCAGGAACGGGTACACTGCGGGGCACGGGAGTGTCAGCCAGCAGGACCCAGAGCCCCTGAGCCACCTGCATAGGCCCCAGACTGGGCTCCTGGGGCTGCCCATCTCCCCCTCCCCTCCGCTCCCCCATCAGTGCCCACTATTGCCAGGGCCCCAGGGCAGACTGGGCCTGCCCAAACACTCACAGGGAGAGGTCATTGCTCGCACCGGTGGCAAGGCAAAGCTGCCCCAGGGAAAGCGGGGCGGGGGGCAGAGAGAGAGAAGGAAGGGGGTCACAGGGGTGCAGATCCCACCTAACTAACTGCCTAGTTGCAAATGAGTCACGCTCCGCCCGGCACTGACCGATCTCCAGGGAGTACAGTGTGGTCTTGCACATGGTCTCATTGGCGGTGCAGGTGGCCACGGTGAGACAGCTGGACACGCTGGTGGGCTCCGGGCAGGAATAGCACTGCAGGGCCATGGCTGGGGACGGGCATTGAGAGCCTGGCTCAGGCAGGGCCTGCTGCCCCACACGTCAGAGACAGCCTTAGGCAGGGGAGGGCAGGGGGAGGTGGGGAGCTCGGCTGGTCCAGAGGCCTGGGTCTGAGGAGACCAGCTGGCCACTGGCCAAACCTTGGGCACAGGGGAAGGTGCTGGGCTGGGAGTGAGAGGGGCCAGTGTGCACAGCCTGAGGCCCTGGGGGTTGGGGGCAGGTGGGGGGCAGGAGCCCGCCTGGGTCATGGCCTGGTGGGGCTGAGATAAAAGGGTTTGGTCAGGGGGGTCTGGGCTGTGGCGCCGGTGCAGGGGCGCTAGGATAAGGGCCTTGGTCAGGGGGCTGGGGTCAGGGGGCCTGGGTTGGAGGGTAGCCTGAGTTAGAGGGCCTGGGTCTGGAAGGCCAGGTTGGGGGCTCAGGCAGGGATTCTGGGTGTGTGCAGTGGGGAGTCTGGGTCAGGGGGTCAGGTCTGGGGGATCTAGTGAGAGGCGTGGGTCAGGGGCCCCTGAGCTGAGGAAGCTGGATTTGGGGGTCAAATTAGAGCCTGAGTCAGGATGCCTGGGCCTGAGACCTGGGTGGGGTGCCTGGCTCAGGGGCCTGGGGGGGTGGTCGGGGGTGGCCTGGGTGCAGGGTCTGGGTCCAGGGCCGGGGCTGGCGTGGGGCTGACAGCTCCACAGCGATGGGGGTGGGTAGGGGCTGGGGAGAGTTACCCTGGGAACCTGAGGTGGGTCATAGGCAGAGAGCTGTGGCGGGATTCAGGGATCAGCGGAGAGGGTATGGGGGTGGGGTGTGAGCTGGATCTGCTGCTGCAGGTGTGTCCCCGAAACAAAGGAGAAGGGAGGGGGCCCCCCATGCCTCTACAGGGCGGGGCAGCTCCAGCCCTCAATCCCTGAAGCGGCTGGCCCCAGTAGCCAGGTGCCCTGAGACCACAGGCTGGTCCGGCTCCTGTAACTTGGTGGGAGGTCCTGGCCCTCTCTCAAGGGCCTCTGTCAGCCTCTGGGTACGGGGCAGGGTGACCAGGGCGGGGGTGGGGTTCATAAACAAGGGGCACGGAAACAGCTCCTCCAGTTTTCCTTTTAGGCCCCAGAGCCGCCAGTCACCACACACAGTCTTCTGGGTTCCAGGCCTCCTGTCCAGCCCCCAAGTCCACACACGCCTCTTCTTCCACCCAGTGCCCCCTCCCACACACACACACAGAACCTGACTTTGCCCTTCCCTGCCCACCCCCTACTCCCACAGGGGAGGAAGACCCCTAGCTGGGGTCCTCCCACCACACTGCTCAAACCAGACCTGGCTGTGGGCCTCCTCCATGGAATGCCCCCCACCACTCCGCTGCTTTCCGAAGCCCACCTCCACCCCCCTTCTGTCCTCAGCTCCCCCAACCTGCCCCCTCCCTCCCACAGACCCTTCCCCAGAGCCCTCGGGGGCTCCAGTGGGACTGCCCACCAAGCCCCTGTGGCTCCTGTGCTCACCCAGCCACCCAAAGGCCACCAGCAGTAGTGCCAGATACACCAGCCAAGTACCCCGCATGGTCCTCGGTGCTGCAAGAAATGCTGCCTGCCGGACCGGTCCCCGAGGCTTAACGGATCAGGTGGCCACAAGGCGGACCCTGCCCCAGGTAGCCGCCTCCTTCCCCGCCCCGGGGCCTCTTCCTACACCCTCCCTGACCCCGCCCTCCCACACCAACTCCTGATCCTTCTGTTCAGGGGTCCCGCCCCATCCTGCAGTCCCAGCCCGGACTCTAGGCCTTCTTCCTTGCCTTTCTGCCCAGAACCCCTGGGTGGGCTGACTCCTCCTCCTCCCTGGTGACTCAGGGGTGGCCTCAGAGGGGACAGCAGAGTGGGGGTCCAAGTCAGGAGTCCTTCTACTGGCTGTGGGAGGGACCCGGGCTGGGGATCTAGCCACTATGGGCACCCTCCCTCCTGGGTGACCACTCCCTTCCCAGCCCCTGGTGGCGGCCCCTGGCTGGGGGTGGGGTGGGCAGGCAGTGTTGTTACCTGAACTATCATTTCCCATATTTGCTCAGAGGCTTAGCTGGTGGTTTGAGAGGAATGGACCCTGGGGTGAGGGTGGAGCGGGTGGCCTTGGGGGAGGGGCAGTGCCAGAGAGCAGTGTGGCCCCACACAGGTCCCTTCCCCCATCCCTGGCATTACCCTCAGGGCGTGGTTTGCAGGAGAGGAAGTGCCTAGGATCCTGAGACAGGCAGTGAACTTGGGGTGTCAGGTGCTCCTGGTCCGTGACCCACCCCTAGACCCTGAGGTAGACTGGGATTTGAAGGGCCTCAGTCTCAGGGCCTAACGGCCAGTTCTTCTCAGGGGGTTGTCCCCTGGCCTCTCTGGGCACAGCCCCATCAGCCTCAGGGACCTCCCAGGCACACCCTAGGCCCCCACTGTGGCCCTGGCTTCACTGAAGGACCACCTTGCCCTGGTATGAGGTCTCCCCCATGCTCTCTCCCCCTCAGCACCAGTGGGTGGTGGGAGGGGGGGCACTCACATATCAGGGTGACCTGCCAGGTCTCCACACCCCAGGAGGGCCACCTTCCCCCACTGGAGATTGCATACAGGGTCCGGGCTCTGAGTAGCTGGCCCGGGAGCAGTGTGTGAGTCCCTGGCACACTGGGTGAGGCTGGCATGCTAACCGGATTAGACACCCACCGAGCACACCCAAGCCCTTGTTATGTCCAACCCAGGTCTCCTGCACAGACCTGCCCAACACCTTTCTGCACTGCCACCCACATGCGCCCAGCCCCAAGGCTCTGCCCAGAGTTCTGGCTGACCTCTCTGGGGACCCAGGCATCAATGACCAGCAGAGTTATATCTGCCCGGGGAGGGGGCAGGCCTGAATGGGTGGGCGCCAGCTGGGGAGGCCTCAGGACCAAGAGACCTATACTGGCCCACCTCAACTCTTCCACTCCCACTGGTCACCCAGGCAAAGGTCAGGTTCAGTGAGTGGCCAGGGTTCAGAGTGTGACCAAGGTCAGGGTTCAGTGTGTGAAGAGGGTCAGGGCTCAGTGTATGAACAGGTCAGGGCTCAGGGTGTGAGCAGGGTCAGGGCTCATAGTGTGAGCAGGATCAGGACTCAGTGTGTGAACAGGTCAGGGCTCAGGGTGTGAGCAGGGTCAGGGCTTATTGTGTGATCAGGGTCAGGGCTCAGAGTGTGAGCAGGTCAGGGCTCATTGTGTGAGCAGGGTCAGGGCTCATTGTGTGAGCAGGATCAGGGCTCAGGATGTGAACAGGTCAGGGCTCCTTGGAAGATGTAAGGCTGGGCCCTCCCTGCTGCTCTCTCACTTGGGGACTGGGGAGCGTCTCTCCCTTCCAAGGACCCTTCCTGCTGCAGTGCATCTCTGTTCCCGGCTTCGCTGAGTCCTGGGGTGGGCAGGGGTGGCTCTACAGCTTACCGTTTTGTTGTTGTTGTTGTCTTAATAATGTTATTGTGGGCTCTTACCGTTCTAACCATCCACACATCCATTGTGTCAAGCACATTGGTACATATGTTGCCACCATCCTTTTCAAAACATTTTCTTTCTACTTGAGCCCTTGGGATCAACTCCTCTTTGTTTTTTCCTCCCTCCCTCCTTCATGACCCTTGATAAAAATGATTATTATTTGCATATATCACCACCACTTACGTTTCTGTTGTTTGCCCCCTGGGAGGGGGGTTATAAGTTGATCATTGCGATCGGTTCCCCCTTTCTCCCTCTGCTCCCCCCACCTTCTCCCTACTCCCATTCGTGTTACCGAGGTGTTTATCTGTCCTGGATTCAGTGTGTCAAGAGCTCTAATCTGTACCAGCATATGACATTCCTCTAGTTATTTAATGCTCCCCTCTCCCCCCACACACACATCATGACCCCAGTCCTGCCTTACAGATCTGGCCAGACCAGAGCAGGTACACTGGTACAGAGGGGAGCGCTTGCTCAACACACGGAATCCAGGTCCGATCTTTCCGCTTCCCTTTTTCTTTTAAGACGTTTACGTCAAGGCCTCCCCTGGTGATGCAGTGGTTACACCTCGGGCTGCTAACTGCAACTTCAGCGGTTTGAAACCACCAGCTGTTCCGTGGGAGAAGGATGAGGCTTTCTAGGCCTGTCAATAGTGACAGTCTTGGGAGCTCCCACAGGCGGTTCGACCCTGCCCTGTAGGGTTGCTTGAATTGATGGCAGGGACTTTTAAAGTGTTGTCATGGGGATTTTAGCTTTTTAATTTTATTTTATTTAACTTTGTTGAGGTTGAACCCACAAATCTATGGTTCTCCCACACGGAACCAGTCAGGGTTTGGGCTTCAGCCCTGCGCTGCCTCACGTCCACCTGCGTGGTGCATGGACAGCGCCTGACAGCAGATCACATACAGGGTATGTTAGAAATTTGAGGTACACACAGTGGTTTCTGGCTGCCCCTGGTGCACCACTACAGGTGCACCCCAGCATGAAAGCTCAGGGGTGACTGTGCTGAGATGTCTGAGTGTCTCTGGGCATGCCCAATGTTTCTCAGGCATGCCCAGTGTTTCTCACACAGTAAGCGCCATTCCATACAAACCTCAGCAAACCGCTCCGATCTCACAGACAGTCTTAGAGCCTGGAGCACTGTATGACCCAGGAGCCCCCTAGGCAGAGCCCAGTGTCCAGTGGCTGCACAGTCACAGCAGTGTCAGCCTGAGTCACCGGCACCTGCAGCCACCAAGGTCCCTTGCAGGGACAACTCCTCAGTCCAGGTTTTCCCAAGAATGGCATCAGGTAGCAGGGACACGGCAGGAGAGTGACCCTAGCTTTATTCTCTGACAGTGTGGGAGGCAGAACCCTAACGAGGAGGCACCCCTTTCAGGGAAGCCTTTCTCTCTCTGGAGGGTCCTTGTCCCCTTGCAATGTCTGGGGGCCCAGCATTCCTCAGAGATTCCTTTGTGTTTTGCATCCAGCTCTCCCTGGGTCTAGGAGGTTCTCAGCCAGGGGCCCTGGCTCCAAAGGAGGCTTATTCACCACCTGTGCTACACAGATGGTGCAGCCCTGCCTGCCGGAGTGAGGAGGACCGGAAGCACTTGCTGATGAAGATCCAGGATTGCACCCTTTAGGGTGGATTACGACTCAATGTAAAGAGCACCAGAATCCTTCCCGCTGGGCCATCGTGGTCCACTGGGGAAAAGGTAGACAAGGTAACAGGCTTCATCTTGCTTGGATCCATGGAAGCCACCATGGAGAGATCGAACGACGTGGGGGC